ATATAAAAGTATAAATAGATAGCCAATGCCAATGACGTTTGATCCTAGAAAGGTCAAGGTCAACAAAGGTCAAGGTCAAAAATTGAAAATTTTGAATTTCCAAAGCCTGTTCCTTTTTTTGAACTATGAAGCGGAAACAACCGAACTTCTAAGACAAAGTGACTCAAAACATGAGATAATTGTATGCAAAGTTCCATTTTGAACAAACGTATACTTTGCGAGTTATGTTCCTGGCCAAAAATGTCAATAATGAGTAATATAACCCAGATGTGCCACGCCCACCTTAATTTTTTTTGCATAGGGTAATAGATATTCCAAATGTTATTTTGTGTTTTAAATTTCAAGCTTCTACATTATTAAGGTCAAAAGATATAGGTCAATAAATATCAATAAAGGTGAAAATCGAAAAATGAAAATATCCTAATGTTAAAACCCGTTCCTTTTTTGGAACTATAAAGCTGAAACAACTGAGCTGTTAACACAAACTGGCCAAAAGGATGAGGTAATTGTGTGCAAAGTCCCTTTTTGAACAAACGTATCCTATGCGAGTTATCCCCCAGCCGCAAAATGTAAACAATTAGTAATTGTGCCACGCCTACCCCATTTTTTTTTGTCATAGGTGAATTCATATTCAAAGTATCTAGTTGTATTCCAAATATCAAGGTTCTATATAGAATAGGTCATAAGATATACATACACCAAGATCAAAAAGACACAAATATGGTAAAACTAAACTCAAATTTGAAAAAATCACGAATTTCAATTTTGCTTTAAAAAAGCAATTGTTCTATATCTATGTAAAGTGCATGAGAAGCACATTAGAAAACCGAAAAAATTAACCCTCTAGGTAAATTAGGTCACGTGCTAGAGCAGTCGAAAGTTGCGAATTTGGCTTTTTACGGATAGCTATAAAACCGGAAGTACATGTCGGAGGTCAAGGTCATCAAAGGTCAAGGTCACGAGATACAAGCCTTCAAAAATTGAAAAAAATTCGACCGCAAGTTGCAAAAAAGCAAAAGTCAAATTCAAAAATCCATTCGCAACATTTTTGTCGCCATAGACTAAAGTATACACCAACAGAAAAATTTGACCAATCCCATTCTCCCCAGAAGCCCCATTTTGAGTTTTATGAAAAAGTATCAAATCAAGATGGCGGCCGAAGTATTTTTTTCGGACTAAATTTTATTTTAAAATCGGCCATAGAATTACGATTAATAACGATATACATAATTTCGTTGAAATATTTCAATCACACCGGAAGTTATTCAACCAATTTAACCGGAAGTCAGAAATTACAGGTAGATTGTAGAAATGAAAACCCGAAGAAAATCGATGCAAAAATACGCCTTCTAGAGCCGATTTTCGACTTTTTACACATGTTGAACTGTGGCACTTCCGGTTTTGCAAAAATCTTCCAATTTATATTTATGCACATCGTCGCCTATATAGAAGGTCTGTGATAGTTGAAAGGTTGTTGCAACTACTGCAGTCTAAGCACAGGAAGGTGTGTAAAAATACAAAAAAAAAAAAAAAAAAAAAAAAAAAAAAGAATTGACATTTCGATAACAAACTGGGACTTTGTTGAAAGCAAAGCTTTAGTTACAAGGGGAAAGTTATCTTTTTGACTTTTTCGGTCTGTATGGCCTACAGAGCAGAATCTTGTAAAAAAAAAGTTAACTTTTTTGAGATAGATCTGTTTTTTTCTAAATATCCAGATGGTCCATGTGGATATGTGTGCACAATTTATTTGAGCTTGAGCACATTTCGTGCAGTCGTCCCTTGTAACTAAAAACGTTTTTTCTCTTATTGTTTTTAATTCGGTTTTAAGTGTTTTTCCAAGTCCCTGGGGTCTTATCAGTAAGAAAAGTCCAAAACATGGGCCAAATCGTATTGGACGTTTTCGGCCTATATGGCCTTGTAAGTCAGGCTGTGTATCGTAATTATATCTGTGTATTGGCGAGGAAGCATAGTATAATATTAACTATCAATGACATTAATGAGCCTCTGTAGGCCTATAGTCTGACAAATCTGAGCCTACACCTTTCTCAACATATTAAAAGCGATATATGGGATAAATTTGGGTATAGATACAATTATATTTGGGTACTGTCAAGGGTATTTACTGCCACTCTGGTAAGAATTTCCAAAAACCCCAGGCTGCATGCTCCAAGCAATGCCAAATGATGAAATGGTTTAAAAACAATATACATGTAAATAGAACTACAATCATATTACAAATAACAATTACATTATAACAATTATACAATACTTCACAAATATATAACAATAACTGATAGAGCTCAATAATGCCTTTCTGTTTCACTTCATTATTATATAGCATGATTGGTCATGCCACAAACTTTGTCATTTATTCCGTTTATCATGTGATCAAAAATTCTTAAATATTGTTTATTTATCTCACATTAGGACACCAGTTTAGAAAGAATCATGGTACAGCTCTTGGCATGTTCTTGTTAAGTTCAGGTTGGTCTGATCACCTACCATTAAAGTTTTATACATATTACATTTTATAGCAATGATACAGCATAAGATTTCACTGGGATTGCATGATCAGTTGTGAGCAGGTTCAATCTGTCCCAATTCTGGCCTTTTTAGCATTGTACAGAATCAAATTAAATCGCATTCAAAATTATCCCTTCTCTTCCTTTCTCCACCATTTTGAATTCTGTCTACACCTAGGTCCAACTTGTTGCAGAACTCATCAAGCCAGCACCCCCCACCTCCTAGATGATCATCATTTCATTGCACTATTTATCTGATATGAGCTGAGATGAAACCCAAGCTAAACCCCATTTCAAATTTGTCAGCATAAATTTCAGAGCTTTGGTCCACTGTTCTTCTGAATTAAACTGTATTCTACAAAATAAAGTTTAGTTCATCAACAGAACAGAATCAAATACACGTGTTGCTTTCACATCCTGATCAACAGAGAAATTCTACCTAGCTTTCAGTGTCAACGTGATTTCCCTAATTTGCATTCATCACACTCACAATTTGAAATGTCCAACACCAGCGGCATTTCTACGGAGAGGTGAAAATTTAAGTTGGCCCTGCATTGCTCCTAAAAAGATTGATGGATGTTTGATAAATGATTGATGGATGTTTGATAAATGATTGATGGATGTATGATAAATGATTGATGGATGTTTGATAAATGATTGATGAATAAATTTGGAACTTAAGCAGTTTTTTCTTCTAAATTTGGTTCCTTTGCAATGCACTTACTTAATGGAATAAGAATTGCCAGAGTTTGAATCTTCTATTTTTCCTTTCTCCATTCTATATGGTAAACAAAATCCTGTGTCTCCTCGTTCTACTTCTTCCTTAAACTACAAAACAAAGAAATTACTTTCAGCAATGGAGGGATTACTTTAGTTAATCAAAATTATACCAAACTTCCATTTGTTATTTAGCTTTTATTTTCAATGTAACCACTGCAGTTAGGGTCTAACCATGACCCTCTACAACATTCATCCTTTTGATCTAAAATGTTTGAATTGCCAGCTGTTAAATGTATAAGACTTTAAGTTGTCCGAGAGGATTGAAAGATACTCTACTCTTTGTGGTATCCTAACATAATAAAAAATAACATAATAAGAATATACCTGTTGCAGACAATCTAAAAATGCAACCATAGCTTGATCAAACCTAAAAAAATAAAAAACAACATCAATAGTAGCTAAAAAAAAAATGACTTGACTGTAACATTTTCTAGAGTTGAAGTAATATATGACTCAGTTAGAAGCTCTGTCTAAATCAACATTAATTTTGACTTTTACTCCACGCGCACACAGTAGAAAAAACTCACTTTGTGTCCCAGAAAAACCTTACACCACCTGAGCCATATAGAGGCAGTTCTTTATTTTTCTCCATTAATGATTCTAAATAGGAATGGTTTCCATATGGAACTAATCTGAACCTGAAAAAAGTGCTTAACAATCTTAAGAGAAACTGTTTATGTCAAGGTTTCTTGGCATTTGGCAACAGAATTTGGAAAAATGTGATATTTTCACACTGGGAAACATGAGTGGGCATCAAACAGGTTTGTGGCTCTTTAGCAAATTGTAAAAAGGCCAAGCCTAATTTTCACCCCTATAAAGATTTTATTATTATCATTTATTAAGTACGGTAAGTCAATCTAACCTTTACTAGTGGGTATAATGATCTCAATAAACACACCAGAACTGGTTAACTTTTTTGACACCATAGTTTGTAGCCTGACCAATCTAACCCTTCCCGTTTATAGAGCATGATTGCAATGAAGACAAAAATATAATATAATTAAAAAGTTATCTTGATTTAATAAGAACGTCGTCAGAAAGTCAGAATAAACTTACCTTTGAAAAGTTAGATTCATTTTCCTTGCTAAAGAATGAAGTAATAGAACTGTTTGACCCCATGCAGCATTAATCTCATTCCATTCAACCTGAAGGAAAAAATGAATACAGGGTTAAAAGGGACAGATTCATTATCAGTTTAACCAATAGTACCTCAATCACAGAATGTAATAGCTAAGCTTATCAGTTCACGATCAAAATTTGAGCCTTCAAATCCATGTGAGTACAGAATTATCCGCGCTTGAAAGTTAATATGACAACTCATCTTTTCTTGAGACATCTATAGAAATAGACAATTAATTTTCTAGTTTGAGGTATATTTGAAGGGATTGTACGATTTCTGTGCAGTTCTGAATTCTATTTACATATATTTAAAACACAATATAGCCAAGAAATCGGTGAACCCTGACCTATAATGTTAATCATAAGGTGATAAACTTACTTGAACACTGGGCAATCTACCAAGTCTAAAATTATTTATAGTACCAAAATGTCCACTATGCCAGATATGAAATGTGGCATTAAAAACATTGGTTTTCTTTAACTTATCAAGTTGTGTTTGAGCATATCTTAGTTGGTTATCAATACTGAAAACATTTTAAGAAGAACAATTAAAAAAATACAAAAAAGGGGTGTTTTCACTTCTCAGAGCATTGACCAAAAAGAGTTAGCCAGGCAAGTTAAACATGACAATTTCGTTCCTCAGTTGTCATGTTGTCACTGTTGTAAGGGATAGACAGGCAATATTGTTTTAAATGAGAATTGATCTCGACCCATTATTGGTTGCTAGTTTTTGAGAATTTTTACCATGACAAAAGCCAAATTTTCAAAACTTTTGGTATCAACACAAAGCTGAACCATGAATGAGTCCATTACCAGATATTCTACGATACAGTTGAGGGGTAGGCTTAATTTAATAGAGTTGTACGAAGGGGGGAAGCCTACCCTTAACTGTATTGTACTACCGTGTGGGACAAAACGAAATTGTAGAATATCCCATAATATTTTAGTGGACACAGTAATGGTTCAGCTTTTTAAAAATACCAAAAGTTACGCCAAATTTTGTTTTTGTCTCAAAAACTAGCAACTTTCAGAAAAAGTGACAAGTTGTGTCTGGTCCTAAACACATCCCGTCGATATATCACTTCCAAAAAACAAACAGGGCCAGATTTATCGGGATTGTGGATATCGTGATTGAGTCACGGTGAGGGCATTACCATATGTTGTCTTCAATTGTTTACAAACAAAACAACGTAGCAATGAATGCACTATGACAACAATACGTGTTGAGGGATGAAGGATTTTGGTTAAGAGAAAACATGTTTACCTTCTCTGTTCATCATCTAATTCTGTAGCCTGTCTTTTATACTCATTATATTCTTTCCAATATCTGTACATTAACAAAACACCAATGTATACATTCATTTTAAAGAGATTGTAAAGGGATTTTATAAACTTTGTATATGGGTAAAATGACATGAATGGAGTTTTACGTCCTTCTTTTCTGCACCTTGTGGGCTAATGAAGATGCAGGGTGCCATGAGGGAAATCTTTCCAGGACAGCGGCATTAGCCTGCTCTTTTTCGATTTCCAACTGTCGAGGGTTGTATAAGGGTAAAGGGAATACTGATAAAATCTTTTGCACCATTTTGATTTTCTGTTAGATGTTTTGGTTCTTGCAAAATTCCTCTAAAACTTAACACTTCATAAAGATCACTATCACAAAAGCTGCAAGGGGACAAGTTCACCATAAAATTTGAGTCCTCAAATCTACGTGTGTACAGGATTATCCGCTTTTGAAAGTTAAAATGACACAGAAAACGTTTATAGAAATAGAAAAAGAAATTTCTAGTTTGATTTATATTTAAAGGGACTAAGCTTGTGGTCTCTAACGCCAAGTTAGAATGGAATATGGACAATTTAAAAAAAACACAAACTTTTCTTCTTCTTCATCTAATAATCTCGAGTTTTCTTCTTCTTCTTTCAATTTGGACATGACTTCATCTTGCTGATTCTCAGCTAGGGCCAGTTGTTTATATAATGTCTCTTCTTCTAATTTTAACTGCAACAAAAATATGGTTGTTATGGGTTCCAAGCTCTGTTAGCATGTGAATGTCCCATGGCAATGGCCTTAAATAAAGCATTCTCACTCATAATTCCAGTCAACCTAACTAAATTGATACAGTTATCTGGGAATTGTTTGGCTAAGGGCCAGCTGGTAGAAAAGATCCTTTATGAACCTTAGTTTTTACCCTTGTAAAACATAGTTGTTTCTTTCTTTCTTTCTTTATTCTTTCTTGCAAGTTGAGAGCAAGATTCAAAATGATGTACCTGAATGAGAATCCAAAAGCAAATCTTAAAGAAATAAAGAAACAGGACTTGGCAAGAATGAAATCTTGGTGTCTAGGATCCTATCTGCCAGCTGTCTCCCAAACCTCTTGGCACTGATCTTTCACAGACATAGTGGAAAGATGTCAACTGGACCACCTGACCTTGGTGCATTTCCATATCAACTTTAAATGACGGTGGACCTAGTTTGTATCTGTTGTTTCCATGTAAGAACAACAAGTAGTTTTCAGATTCTACCTGTTTTAACTCCTCATCCAAAGCTTTCTCATTTATATCTTCTTTTTCATGATCTAATTGTGTTAAAAAATCTCTGTAATCTCGACATTCATCCTCAGTGATCTTCAGCTGATTATCTAAGTGGTCTAATAAGGTGTCTGTACATTCCTAAAATAACCAAATTCCATCTGATGAAAAAAAAGCTTATTTTTCATATTTTCTACTTATGCCTCACATGCTACAATCGATACAAACAGTTGCCAAGCGAGATATGCCCACTTATCTAATAAATTTTCAGTATATAAAGGGTTTGCTATATCAATAGTTCCCAAATACAAACTTATCCAAGATCTTGTGGATATAAACCTTAACATCAAATTTTATATGGCATAGCTAACTGAAGCATTCCATACAATATAATTTCACAGAGTAAAGGGACAGTCTGACCAAAATCTAGAGATAAGACCCGACAACAAAACTAGTTTTAACTGCTAAATTAACAATTAGTAGTACTGTTCTTAATTAACCTCTTTTAAACAAATTCAGTTTGATCAAGTAGTAAATTATACATGTTAGAAACCTTAACATATATCAACTAATATTTATTAGGTAGATATACAGCAGAAGTAAATAGCATACAACTGAATCCTTTTCACTTATAATTTACAACATTTTTAATAATGCAAATTTGGCATACTTCCTTTTTAAGAAGGACTATGAAACTTACCTCACAAAGTGGATGATCAACTTCAGACTGACCAGACATTATGTCAAACAAAATAGCTGTCACCTTTGAAATATGAAAAGAAACAATCTTAAACATACATCACTTTCTGACAATTCAAAATGTACCAGTATAAATAAAACACCTATTAATAGAATACCAAGTTTGAAAAGATTCTTGGTAACATGATAAACCCACATTGTGATATTTTCTTGTAATAACAGTCTAAATTACCATGGTCCTACCTTCAATCTTTGACTGAGATTTTCCATACTGCCTGGTCCAGTTTCACCTATTAATGTAAAGTCATGACTAGCTTGTAACTCTTCACAGCTGAAACAAAAGTAGCAAACACTAAGTGGGGGTGCCAGCCTCCAGAGACTGAGGGTATAAGTAGGGGGCAGATTGACTTAATAAATGCAGCATCTGCTGGAAGCGCACGTTAACTTGTCATCTACCAACCAACTTAATGGGGAACAAAACTGCCGAGGTTGAAATAAAATTCATTTGGTGCACACAGTTTTTAAAATTAAATAGTAACGAAGTGAGACTAAGGTAGATTGGTCAAATGGAAGATGAAGATTTCCTAAGTTAGGATTATTGATTATGACTTACATGTCTGAGGAAATTTTCTTTCTTACAATATTTTCATCATCTTCATAATCGACAGGCTACAAAGTAAAAAATATATATTATTTAAAGTCACTCTTAACATACCTTTCCTGGTATACTCAAATCACAAGTTTACGATTCTATTGGATATTTACACAAAATCTACTGGCTTAACTAAGCTTGCAAAATTGTTGGGGACAATGTGAAGCTTGTATTATAAATAAACTTACCTGTTGGTCAGACCTGATATAAATTTGTAAGGTTTCATCTTGCTCATTGATAGTTCTTGTTAATGGTGCTGAAAATAATAAAGGATATTTAAGACATTCACTTTGAACCAATTTGATTAAGATCAAACCTGGATGCTTCATTTTGTGTCTTTTATCTGGTTGATTCACTTTACATCCATGATCTACCGATCTGCCTCTCCTGTTTATTCATCCAATCAAATGCTCTTTTTAGTAAACATGAATGCCATTGGTCCAAAATTCCATAGTACACAATTAATTGATAAAAGAATTCAAACAGATCATGGATGGCATTGTGCACATAGTAACTTGCCAAAAATAACACAAACTAAGCATCAAATTCTGATTTATACATTTTCCTGTTTCATTTTAATGAATCCTTTTATTTCACACTGCTTTTTTTCCAATGCTTTCTGTGCAATAGCTTTTCGCTTTTCTCTTTTCACAATATTTAGATCAGTCATCAATCACAAGTTATATTCCCACACAGCAGTAATTTTAATGGCAGCTTAAAATTTAAGAAAGAGAGGACCTGCAAAAAGAGTTATGCCAAAATCAGATCTCTGTATTAAATTTATATTGGCGTATATTGTTGACTATGTTTGTTGACCAAACTAAAACTTTTAATCTTAAGTGTTTTTATGACAGTAAAAAAGCGACTGGCAAGTCGTTAGAGCCAGAGTAGATGGTAGCATTAATTACCATTCAAGATTTTATTAGAGCATTCCTAGTTTAAATTAGCAGAATCTATTGATTGAAATAAACAGAAAAAATACATTAATGTTGTCCGAAATTAGACCCTTTATTTAGCTTTATTTAGAGTCAAGTAATCAAATGTTGTGCAAACCTAATTGCGTGTATCTCTACAGAAATGATAAATAATTTATATGTGCGACCTTGCATTTGCATGTTTTGATAAACATGGGTTACGGTATCTCTATGTACAACGTCAAACTGTCGAATTTTTCTTATCGTTTCAAAGCAATGTCAAATTCATTATTTATTTGTGACATATTATTCAAAGATAGCTTGCCAGGCAAGGTAATATACGTCCACTGGCAGCTTTGATTTTGAATAAAAATATTTAGCAGTACAGTAACAATCACCAGTATGAAATATTCAACCTTCAGTCATACACTTCTTTTGAACTCTTTAGCACAACACTGAATAATATTGAGTATGAGTTATTGCCCTTGTTCTTGAAAACGCGTTCAATCTTTAGCTCACGAAAACTCTAGAAGGCAAATATTCAATCTTCAGGACTGAAAAATAAAACCAAGTTTTGTCAAAATCCAGAAAGAATCATGCCTTTTAGTGTTTAAGAGCTTAATTTGAAAGCGGTTTCAAGAACAAGGGCAATAACTCATACTAAATATTTTTCAATTCTTCTGATTTTCAATAGGGTTCATCCTTGGGTGATTACAAACATTGATACCAAGTTTCATCAAAATCCGTCATGAATTGCACCTTCTAGAGTGTTTACGAACGTTTCAAGAACAAGGGCAATAACTCATAGTAAATATTTTTCGATTCGTCTGATTTTCAATAGGGTTCATCCTTGGGTGATAACAAACAACTATACCAAGTTTCATCGAAATCAGTCAAGAATTGTGCCTTGTAAAGTGTTTACGAGCAATTGTGGACGGACGGACTGACCGACGGACGGAATGAGGTGACGGCAATATACGCCGTGGGCATCTAAAAAGGCAGATTTCAGATATTACCAAATAATACAACTTTTTTTTCCTTATAATCCCAAGCTGTAATCAGAATTCCAAGTATCGTCTGCTAGAATGTATTCCAGTAAACAAGGTCACGTGACAAACTGTTCCGAAACATCTGCCTCTATTCCAGCCTCTGATGGATATTTTGGTCAGTTGTCAGTTTGAGTAGAGTCAGAAGAAATGGGGATTTCCACACCTCCAAAGATACATAATATTGAACTACCTTTAAGATGATTGTAAAGTAGAGTTGGACATCAGCGTAACTTTTGTTTTGTTAGTTTCACGTGACTCTGTGAGCATTGCACTTTTGGCTGTGCACACAGTTTTAAATGGCCGATGCTAGATCAGTTTTGCCAAGATAAACTTTGATGAAACCAGAGACATTACATAAATTCTGTATGGAGAAAATGATTGTATGACTGAACTACAAAAGTATTCATCTTTCCAAATATACCTGGGTTTTGCAGATCTGAGTTATCTAAATAGGTTTAAATCCCCGCACCTGCGGAGGTGGGGAATGTCTCCATTCAACAGGGCCTATCTTTCCTGTCCTAACACCAGATGATATCCAAATAGCTATCAAAGACAGATGTTTCGGTCTGGTGACAAACTAGCGAATTCCATGTCAGCAGAAATATTGTGGGTCATATTATATTGTTTCAATGAATTTTAGCAATAAGTTACTCTTACTTGTCAGTCACATTTTTTATTTATTGTTCTTTGAAGGAATTGTCATAGTTATAACAAAATATTATTAAAGAAATGATAATTATACCACTGGGTATCCATACAATGTGTTTTTCTACAATTATTTATAGATACCTTGTACTGTAGGCCTACACCAAAGTAGGTGACACATTTAGTAACTGATGTCGATTTGGTTACGTTACTCATAAAATATTTCATAAAATATTAGTAAACGTGAGGGATTTCTAACAAAACAATTTTAATTATTTTAAAGAATATCTGAAGAATCATCTAATTCTAAGACATAAAAAAAAATCCGTTTTATTTCTATATTGACGAAATTTGGTGTTAACTCCTTATAAGCACGAATATAGGTTCCACCACTGTAATAGTTCAAGAGAAAAACTCACCTGACAGATCAGTGAAAAGAGTTTGATCTACATTACAAAAAGATTTCTCTAATTTCAAAGGTTGCTGACATCTTTGACAGACAAAACTGACATTTGTTGTACCAGATTTTCCTGGTTCAGCCCTGATAGCTGACATCTTTAAATTTATTTGAAGCTTCGTAAGAAATGTTAGTAATATCCTCTCTGTTACCAATTTACAGTACAGTCTAGAACTTTGTTGACATTTTTTATTTCCGCTTCCGGTTTCGTTAGGTGTTATCGAGTTATCTGCTCATGTAAAACGAAAGTAGACTTTCTGAAGGTGAATGACATCGATGCATTGGTGGGTCCGAAAAGAATCATATTTTCTTTTCTTTAAGTTAAAAGTTTCTCCAGTTAGTGTATAACTTGCCATGGCCTTGGCCTACTTTCGGAGGCAATTTAAATTAGACCATCATAGAAAATCTTAAATTTACTTAGGATAGGTCTACATCATCAAATTATTGGCTTTTATTTTACTTTAACTTTAATAGTTTAATTACTACTTGTAAAATAGGCATAGATTTATTATTCAAATATTGCTTCTGCACATTCGTTCGTACTTCGTGGTTTGATATATTATTTTTTCAATAGAATCTTCAAAACTGTTAGGCCTACTGACACCTGACCTGATTCAAGATACAAGATACACAACACGACTGGGATCACATTCACAGACAACTCAAATCAAAGTCTGGGAACATTTTATATACTCGGCCATTTTAAGTACCTGTTAATAAGTAGTTATCTCTTCCACATAGGTTCCCTTCAGAACATAACATACCCACAAATTATAATGAACTATAATAACTGATCAAATCAAGAATATACTTATATGATGCAAAAATTACCCATGAAATTTAGAATTTTGGCATGTTTCTCAATTGAATTATTTTGATTTTTAATTGATAATTAGTCTGTCGATAATAGATCAAGTTGCTAATCAATACCCAGTCCTAAATGCATGTAGGATTTATTTATCCTGAACTCTTTTTATTTTATTTTATTTACAGATCAGAATATAGAAGCTAGGACAAAGTTCATGTACATTTGAAAGAATTATGTTAAGAAATCCAGCTTTTTGTATTTGTAATAGAATTTTGAACAGACAAGATTATCTAAAGCCTATGGTTATCTCTTCGAACAATTTTGAGAGATTCCAAAGTGAAAAAATTCAAAGAAAAAATGACTCTGCTTTGTATTTTCATGTATTTGCTTGTGCAAATCTCAAATTCACTCAGATAAGGAAGTTGCATGCATCTACAAAATATCTAGCAGGACACAGTCAGTGGGCAAATAGGAGAGTTGGAAAACAAATTCAGGACAAGAAAAAAGCAAATGTTAGGGAAGGACTAATGAAAAATGTTGTGTCAGTTATCAAACGTAAGTAATATCGGATTGAAAATGGTTTGTTTCCTTGTCTGTGCCAAAATGTGAGAGTTATCCCTGTAACTGTTTATTTAAAACGTTTGTTTCCTTTATAAGCTTTTGTTTTAACACAACCACTTCAGTGAAGGTCTTCCTTCTCCCTTCTTGTTTCTTCGTGTCTATAACCTTTGCCATAACCTGATGAACTCTGCTTTAACTAATCTAATAATCCTGCCTGGTATGGTGTAGAACATCCAATTAAAAAACATGTTTCAATAACGTTCAGCACAATGTAGAGTTGATAAACTCATCTAATGCTCCTCGGAACACACCAGTCCGTCCTTTTGTTCAAGTGACATAATCCTAGAGCTGGAGAGAGAAGAAATTTGATTGGTTTGCAGTATTTAGGTGTATTAAGACAGAATATGGTACAAATGTTTGGTCTTATTCTCATTAGACTGTCCCTATTAGTGTTGTTTCTTGTAAGCTTACAACAGTATTAAACATTTATGAAATAAAAATTTCTTTTGTCTTAGAAACTGGTGAAACAGATCCTCGATATAATCCAAAACTACAGAAATTATTTGATCAAGCTAAACTGAAAGATGTTCCTAAATCAACATTAGATAATGTTATAAAAAGAATAGTAAGTACGAGTTTTGCCATAGCAGCAGTGGTGGTGATAGTGGTGGTGATAGTGGTGGTACCCCTAGAAAAATGGTTTGTACCCCTAATGATACCCCCACTTAATTTCTTTAAAAAACGCAAAATGTGATGTTTACACCTTGTAGCTCCATGTTTCAGAATGGTGCTGCCACTGCATAGCAGAAATAAATACTAAATGATGCTGTAGTTATTGATTTCTTTATTTTGCCACAGTATTCAGTAACATTGTACAGTCTGTACCACATCTAGATGTGTTAATATTGAACGACGACGTTGCTAAAGGAACATTTAGTTATGAATGACCTCATCTAACAATTTTTTTCAGAGTTCAAAATCTTTTGAAGTAACAACAGTTGAAATTGCTTTACCTGGTAACATGTTCATAATATATGAAATATCTTCTACAAATATGGCATTAACAGTCAATCAGATGAAAAATGTTTGTAAACAAGTTGGGTAAGTAAGCAGATTTTATACACCCTTAATGTAACAGTCTGTCAGTCTGTTTGTATTCATATTTAGCTCATAATTAATTAGTGGTGGCTGTAGATCATTGGATTAAAGGTGGCCACAGACAAATTTTGTTGAAAAAGGGCTATCGAATCAAATCGTTCCATTTACAGACTTCCATGATACAATAAAAGAGCCTAATGAAGGTATTAGATGCAGTTCGTAATAGGGAGACATTATGACATTAAATCAAATTTTTGTAACTTCCATTCAATATTATAGTGGCTTCGTGGAGAAAGGTTGCTGTTCACGTATATTTGAAGAAAAGGGATTTGTTGATGTTGGTATAGGTGTAAATGAGAAAGCTGATGTAGAGCAATATGTTGATATAGCTATTGAAGCGGGGGCTGAAGATGTGGTTTTGGAAGAAAATGACAATGAAAGATATATAAGGGTAATTTTGTAATTATTATTTGGTACACTGCGATATGAGCATCTACCAACTGTTTGATATGTGTACACCAAATGAACAATATTATGCCGATTCTCTCAAAGCTCTGAAAAAGTCAGCATTTATCATCTCTTCCGAAGTAAATAATACTTGTGAGGTCACTTCTCTGATCTAACAACTATGGGCTCAGAAGTTGCTAGATTATTTTCTTCCTTTATTAGAATTAGTAGATAAGGAAAATGACAGGATCTTGACCTCAGATGATGTTGATATTAACATTATTAATTACTATTTACTACAGCTTTGACATGATATTTATAGGTGTCAGTGAAAGTTGGGTTTGCATTTTTAAGGTGCCCTAATAGAGATCGAGCATTAAATCTTTTGGGTTCATAATGCTGAGATCTCAAGCTTTCCAGTGATATACAACAAGTCTATATTCGGTTAACATTGGAGAATGACATTAAATTCGGTTAATAAGGTCACACCGTCATGTCAGTATAGATAGAATTAGAGTTTGACATGTAGGTTAAAGATACCTTTTCTCCAATTTATATCAGAAATGTACTATGTCAAGTTTGAGCATATAAAGACGATCATGCTGTAAATTAGACTTACTGAAATACCCTAGTTGGTATTTGTATAATTCTATTCTAATTTTGATGGAATTATTGAATTTTTTGTTTGCATGTGCCTTACTGACTTTCTGTTAACAGTTCTAGTTATATTATTTCTGTTTTCAGTTTATGTGTGAGGCGGCAAATCTATACCAAGTAAAAGGCAAGCTGGAGAAATTGGGTTTAAATGTAATCAACCTTTTTAATGAATATTTGCCTCATCAACTGGTAAATCTTGAAGAAAATCACAAAAAAAATTTGAAAGCTTTTCAAATGAAGTTGGATAATAATCTTATATCACCATGTATTGAACGAAAATTCACTAATTTCATAGACGAAAATGAAGAATAATAAAATTAAAATGATAGAAACAGATTTTTGTGTCTTTATGTTTTTGGGGTTTACATTAAAGGGACAGATTCGCCATCCGGATTGATTGACTTTTCACATATATTTAAAACNCCAAATTTACCTCTGAAAATGATGAACCATGGCCTTTAACAAAACATGCTTAGTTTAAAATACTATACCTACTGGAGAAATCTAAAATCAATCAATTTCATATCATGCTTTTATCAGAGGAGGTTTGTTTTATACGCCTACAACACATTGTGGGTAAGGTCCCCGTCACAGCGAGCTGCGACTTCAGTATTCATACTACTTCGGTATTTGCAATCTTACAATCTTACGACTAAAAGTGTACTTAGTCCCAGGCTAACGTGGAAAAAACGCGAGAAGAATTCTCATAAAAATACAAATTGTACAAAGTCTCAATCAACCATATCAGACATATGCGACCATATTAAGTTCCCCCAAAATCTATGGGCTTGGTGCTCTTCATTTTTATACGCCCACATGAAATGGGGGGAGGGGCGTATATATGGTCGTCACCCAAGGATAAACCTTATTGAAAATCAGAAAAATCGAAAATTATTTACATGTAGTTTGAGTTATTATCCTTATTCTTAAAAATACGATCAATTTTTAGCTCGTCAACACTCTTCTTGACAGATTTTGACGAATCTTGCTGTGAGTGTTTCTTATCTACTAATGATGAACCCTAATGAAAATCAAAAAATGTTTTATAGGAGTTATTGCCCTTTTCTTAAAATTTTTAGCTCGAAAACATTCAAAGGCACGATTCTTGTCAGATTTTGACTAAACGTGGTAAAATTATTAAGTGTTTGACTGAAGGTTGAATATTTCATACTGGTGATTGTTACTGTACTGCTAAATATTTCTATCTAAAATCATAGCTGCCAGTGGACATATATTACCTTGCCTGGCAAGCTATCTATATCCTGTCATGAAGATGTTATGACTCTTGTGTACAGACATTCTCGATTCCATGGCGATCGCAACTGATAGTATTTTCATTGTACGTTTTTTGGAAGCTTCCTTCACGTTTCTACCACGTTGATGGCGACCTTAACATGCTCAGAGCTAATTTTTGGTCGCCATAGCAACTCAATAAGGACACTTTTCCGATGTGGCGGGGGTATTAGAAAATGTATAACCAAGTTTCACCAATATCGGATAAAAACTGTAGTCTTTATGGTAAAATTAAACGCGTTTTTACGAAGTCAGGGGGAATTAATGCAAAACCGTTCATCCAATAATAACCAATTTCGAACTTAAACGAAGTCTCAACAATATATACATACATGCCAAGTTTCATCAAGGTCAGATAAGAAATGCAGCCTCAATTGTGCCTACAAGAGGGGCGACAGCAACAACATACATACGTAAACAATTATAACAATATACTCAACAACATACAATGTAAATATCATATCACATACAGATTATAACAAAATACACAAAAACATACAATATGAATATCATAGTACATACACATTATAAAAATATACGCAACAACATACAATATGAATATCATAGTACATACACATTATAAAAATATACACAACAACATACAATATAAATATCATAGTACATACACATTATAAAAATATACGCAACAACATACAATATAAATATCATAGTACATACACATTATAAAAATATACGCAACAACATACGATATAAAATTCTTTTCAAAATTATATAAATTTTCATACCTTAAAGATGGGTTCCCTTATTTCATTTCTGAAAATGAAAATGCTAATACTTATATGAATAGAAAATGAAAAATATCAGCTTGTTTTACATGTCTTTAATTAATTCATAATTAGCTAAATTACAAGCAGAATTCTAATGAGTGACCGATCAAGAAAGGTCAAAAAGTCTTCTTTTTATGATTTAATTATATTCAATAAGAACATAATGTTATTATCAAGAATACACGATAATTCATTAGAAACACCAATTGATTAAATAGTTATTTGCTTAATTTGATAATAAAAAATATAAGGAAACCCATCTTTAATTTTAACTTATTAATATCCGTCCACATTTTCATGTGGGCTTATAGGAAAGAGGAGACTGCTACTTGAAATTATGTCGGAATGTTAAAGTGAAAATAATCACAGTTATAATAACAAATGAATTGTTTACGATGTTGAACCACTATTTATGTTTCAAACAGTTACAATATAACTGGTATTTTTAGCACAATCTGGCATATTTTCGTTTGTTATTACGAATTCCACAGTAAATGATTATTATTCAAGAAATTAAGGTATTTTGATGCTTGTGTAATGGGCATGGTGTTGGACGAGTGCTCAATGAAACGATTGGTGGTGTGAATCTCCATACAAGGGACGCACAGACTGTGTAACGATACATTAATTGTGAGTGATTTGTCTATGCACATTCTGGAGTATAGTTTATTATTCTACTTTTCCTTACTATTTCAGCATCTTTGGAATAGTTTAAATTGTAAACTAGATGGAGAGATGTTCAATAGTGATCTTGTGTGATATTTAGTTCCCATTTCTGTTAGTTGGTGCTGCAACTATTTATTGTTAAGAATAAGGTATGAAAATGTATAGTTTTTTAGTTTTTTATATTGTATGTTGTTGAGTATATTGTTATATAATGTGTATGTTATATGATATTTACATGGTTTGTTGTATGTTGTTGAGTATATTGTTATGATTGTGTATGCAATATGATCTTATTAGGCCTATATGATGGTATTATTCTATGTTTTATTATGATATTTAATTTGCCTCCATTGAAGCAACTTCTGTTTGTCTATACTCTATACGAGATGGCTTTGCTTTAACCAACAATAACTGTAGAACCTCGATGATTATTGTTTTATGCATACATTGTTATTTTGAAATGATTCGGTCAACTATCATATATGATTTTTTTTCATTTCATTTTTCATAGTTTTGGACCTTCGATGATTGACTGCAAATGGATTGTGAATTTAGAATGATAATCTAGAGCGACCTTTAGATTTAGTTTCGTCTTAATGGTAAAATACCACCGAAAGGAAGCGTGGTAGAGACGATTGTAATATTTAAGGAATTCGGCATATATCTGGAATATCTCCATCCACCATGTTTTGTACAGGTAAGATAAATACCTATTCCATTGTCGAAATATCATGACTTCAATATTGCAAAGATTGTTCCTTAAAGTGCCAATATATGCCAATTCATTCAAAGACAACATTTTGAAATACGTTTATCATGGTCGTGATGAAGGTTTTGATAATCAGACTGAATTCGAAAAAGTTATAATCTAAAGAAGTCCATTAACAAAGATTACTCCCTGTATTAACATTGATGTAAAAAAAAAATACTTCATGATCTTAAAGGAATACTACCTCTTAGGATCACCAAAAAATTAACATTTTTAAACTTTAAGCCAATAAGAGTATACCCACCGTGGGCTTATCTGGTGTCATAATTACACAACAACAGCCCCGTATAATCTGATAATATCATAAAACTGCAATTACTTGTTGAAAGACGCTTAATATATTTTAAGTGTTTTTCAAAAATTGCATATTTTATAGGATTTATGCCACATACAGAGATTCTGTTGTATAGTTATGGGTCTGTTAAGAAATACACTCGTAGAGCCATCACATTAATGGCTTCAATTAAGTGACTTAAATTCAACTTTGAAATTTGAAATTTTGAATAAGATGAGCGAGTCACTATCCTTATATTATAAAATTCACACATAGACTTACTGTAGTTTTCTTTATTTCACGTAACAAGCAGAAATATAGAATGCAGTTATCAAACGCCCCACTCTACCCCTTGCTGTTTTCCCATTTACTTTAATTTGTAACTCTATCATCAATCAGATATCAAATCATCTTCACAATGTCAAGCTTTTGACTGCAATAGCCATCATTCTTGTATCATTCTTGTATCATAAACGTGAATGAAGTGATTTGATTGAATTGTCGGCTAGCGAATCAGGGCCTTCGACAGAAAGTCTGTGAACCATAAATGATGTTTGTAGTCTGTCGAGGGCTATAGTTGGCTGTATTTGCTAGTGTACAATCCGAACAAATCACTATATGCCGTGATTCAAGAAAGGTGGTTATTGCATGTGTAAGATTTTAAGTTTGTAGGGCCTAATAGCTTTGTGACTTTGTGAAGATGATATCGAATACACTGATGCTGAGTTTTATACGCTACATCTTATTTTGATGAGTATTTTATCGGTAATTAAACCAACCATCTACGTCATATCAATTGCATTACTCGCCTTCTCCCTGTATATTCTTTCTATTACGTGATTTTTTCTTAGCTTGGCAACCTTATCGGGGAATTAATTTAGACTCCAAAATCCTTATTTTAAGGATCGAAATGAAGTTTGTAAAAAGATCATTATTTTTGGTATATAGTTGGTGTGTACCAAGTTACAAAATAATAATATTCTAATGTCTAAAAATGTTCTCTTATATTTTAAGGATGTTTAAAGGGATCGTGGTCACGAATTATCATTCTGTTACTATTAACTTTTGTCGGAATCGCCAGTGCATTGAAAGGCTGTAGAAACAAGAATCGTAAACAGTGTAGCTTTAATTTGGAAGGACTAATGAAAAATGTGGCGATATTGCAGGTGAAAAATCGCATTAAGCAGCAGATCCTGGGACAATTAGGTCTGCCAATCGACATAGCTCCCACAAAAACTACCCCTACCGATAAAAAGGAGAGAAAAGAGGGTCTGATCCAGACAGAAAGTAATTTTACTGTCACCCCGACTGTTATCAAGTCCAATATCTCAGAGTTTCTGATAGTTTCCGAGAGACCAGGTAAAGATCAAATGCCAAAAAGCTGAGTGGCACTGCAGGTTTAGACTAATAGTGTGGTCAATGTGTAACTGTAACTAAAAAAATAGTTAGACATTCACCCACTAGCAGCTTTGAATGCATGTACAAATCATTGTTTGTTGTCCATTCACATTTGGTTCATGTTTAGTCTATAGGGAATTTTAAGCACGCTTCCATACTACGTGTGGGCATATAAAAATCAAAAGAATCCATAAAGAATTGTTGCTTGAAGAATGAGCAAATATTGCACTATAAAGCTTATATAGAGTGAAATTGCAGCCTGTAGGGTGTCGATAGAGACTAATGAAAAAAAGTGCACCCCATATGTAAGCCACGTGCAGCCTAGCCTCTATTTAAAAGGTACAGAGAACAGCGCTTGGCACAATGTCGGTTTTCGCTAAAAAAAAAAAAAAAAATTCTTTTTCCAATTTGTATATTTCAGGTAACATAGAAGATGCAAACATAATCAAATTCCAGCCATATTTTGGCTTTCAAAATGTTTCCAACTCTACCGTGAGAGCCAAAATGGTCGTCAAGGGTGCCAATCTCCTGATTCGACTGAAACGCAGAAAGAAAAGGACAATAACCGACAGTAGAAGTCCACACTCGAACAGTTCGAGACCTCGACGAATGAGGCGCAAAGTGTTGTCGCTTACGGTATCGACCGTAGACGAAAACGGAAAGCCTGCTCAAGAAATAGCAACTGTAAAAACAAAAGTTAGGAAAAGCAAATGGTTTAGAGTTACCCTGCCCAGTTCTTTGATTCAAGATATGATTGACCAATCGCAAGCGTCGTTACTTCTGCACATAAAATGTAAACGATGTCGAAAATATACAGAAGTGATTCTCGTGCGTGCATCCCGACGAGAAAGAAGACATTTACCCAAAACGCATAAGAATAAATGGAGAAAATCCAAATCCAAATCAAAGCATTCTCGACGCAAAATACAAAAGATAAACAAAAGTCGACCTATCCTGATCGTGAAAGTTTCGAGAGAATCTAAACCTCGCAATCGACGTAGTTCGAGAAACCGAGATGACAGACTTAACAATCAAAGTGAGACCAGTCGGGCTATTGGCCGACAAAATCAATCGTCCGTGTGTCCATCAACTAATGGAGGATCAGAGATAAGTTGCTGTAGAGAACCGGTCTTATTTAACTTTGAAGAGGCTGGATTGGGTTGGATAATCGCACCAACAGGATTCTATACCTCAGAGTGTGCTGGTTCCTGTCATGCACATAACGGTGTAAGGACCTCTAGTGGTATGACGATAGAACATTCATGTAGACCAAATAACCGCAAGCCCCTTTCGGTCCTTTATATTACTAAAAGTCTGAACATTAGGCTTGGATTACTACCTGGTATTGTCGTAATGGATTGTAGTTGTCAAGTCGGTAATATGTACACTCATGACGTCATAGAAACTCGTTTCCGTGAAAATTAAACAGAATGCTTGCTTGAGTTTGAACTTGTGGGCTAAATAATTGCTTTCCCACCGATAGTGAATACAGCTATCCACTGAAACTTTCAGAACCAGAGATCCACATCTCAATTTTTCTGTGAATTATAACCTGCTCCATACCCTATGACGTAAAATCCGAGAGAATGTCAATAACGCCACGCAAACATAAACTGTAGTAGCCTACGCTGATTTATTTACATCAAATTAAATAGGCCTATGTCTTACTAACCAACAGTTTATCTTTTATTCTGAAAAAAATGTTCTAGACAACTGAAAATCAGTTGGCAGTATTAAAACGACAATATCATGCTCTTATTATGCAGACCGGATAGCATTGGTCCGGTACGCGGCTCGACCCTAGACACATCGCTTCAAATAATAATACCGGACCTTGGACCGGACCACTTTAAGGATGATTAATTAACCACCACGCATAAGGCGGTCTGGTCTGCATCACTTACTATATATATCCCTTTAATTGTTACTTTCTTGGGAAAATAATAAAGATTTTGTCTTTGAACCATGTCTGGATAAGCTTTGGCAACTAAATTGACTGCGTAATAAATTAACTCATCTGAAGTCAAAATGACCCACATATGACCAAGAGCCATGTAGATGTTGGGTGAATTTCAACGAATTGTTTATAATAACTCTAACTTTATATTAACTCTAGCACATGTTGCACTCAAATCGTGTCCAAGAGTAGGGGAAACCGGGGCTAGTTAGGCTACTTTTCGGAAAATTCGTGGTGTGTGAAAAACTTATGACTAAATCTCCCTGGAAACATGTCAGAAAGAAAGATTGAAGTCACTCTCAATACGAAATCCACTATTTGTATCTATTGTTAGTGAAATTCATCGTGAAAGTCAAAAAGTCAAAGTGACCGAACCTATCTCGCGTAGGGATATGTTCGGCAATCAAAGGAAATGTCGCTGTTCTTTTTATCAAAAGTTGAAATATTAACATTTATCATACAACAGTAGCAGCAGCGACAAGTCATCTATATAACCAATTACATCGTCAAAGTCCTAGTTCTGGAAGATGTATCAGATCATGCCACACAATAGCCTATTTGTAACCACGTTTTACATTGGATCAACCAATGGCAACGGCATGCGAGGCCTTTTTCTCGTTTAAATGCCTTAACTCAGACTTCTAGATGACTGAGGTCATCATTTATAGACGATAGCCTTTCAAAGGGTTAGATTACTGGCCGAACTTGCCTCTGTCAAACTAACAAGACTAGTCCCATTCGGTCTTTCTTCATAAATCATGTAATGAGTCAGCGAATTATGCAAATGCAAAACTTCACTTACAAAGCGATCGTTGTTGAATTAATGTATAATAAGACAGCAAAGTATAGACCGAACAATTTCACTTACCAGGTCAAAGTTCCCTTTTAAGGTCATTAAATCAAGGTTAGTTTAAGTTGGCCCGTAATTATTGTAGTGAAAACTTTCGGTCTGTTTCTGGCAATCTACTGTCAGGTGTTGTTGGTAGTAACTAATTTTAGACGAGAGTTATCAACGAACTAGCCCCGATCTCCCCTACGTTATAAATCGGTAGTAAAAAGTGCATAATTGGCCATTTGCCCACTCTCGAAGTACGTTTCTCCATTCTAAGCTACATCTTGGAAAATTGTTTGTAAATGCAGCGATTTGGTTGAATTGTACGTAAGCGAATACAGCCAAACGAAGACCTGGACAGAAAGTCTGTATGCCATGATGTTTACAGTCTGTCTGATTGGCGATATTCACTGGCATACAATTCAATCAACTTGCTGCATTCCGTGATACAAGAAAGATGACAATTGCAGTCAAGGTATAAGACGAAGTTCGTAATAGCTTAATATTGTGTGGATGTGAGATAGTCTGCTACAGAGACCATCTTGCTCGCTATCTTGGGTTGTGCAGGTATAGGGCGATCCTGACATACGTTAGTCCGAAACATCTGACTCTATTCTAGCCTCTTACAGATATTTTGACAGTTATCATGAGTTTTGCGTCCTAGTTTTCTGCTTATGAAGACGGATAACGCCATTCAGTGTGCAATGGGGTACATTTTGCCAGGACAGCCAGCGGAAAAATCCTTTTCGATTTTCAACTGTCGAGGGATCTTTAATATGCACAACATGGGGCCTAGGTGTATATTGTCCTATACGAACCGCTAACCACTTTTTTCCATGTCAACCCTCCGCCCTGCATCACTAACCTGATACAAATAATAATTGAAAGTAACAAACAATAATATACAAATGAAAAATCATTGATATATCATATCTTTAACTATTAAACCGTTTCGAAAACGTGGTTCACTGTCCTAGAGTGGGGTAAGATCATTGTCCTATATTCTATAGACATATAAACCCGGGGGGCACGGAAATGGGGAGGAAAAAGTCTGGTCGTCTGCTAGGGCCACCGACCTAAATGAACTATTCTACGCTGGGAACTGTACTTTGATCAATGATATACAACGGATATTAACAGAAGAAAACTACCCAGCTTATTGGGACTTGTACATTTACGAGATGTCAAACTCTACTGTTCCCGAATAAATATACATAATAATTATAGCAGAACTTAAAGATAGGTTCCCTTATTTTCATTTATGAAAATGATATTAGAAGTGTTGTACATGTAATTACTTGGAAAAATACCAGTGTAATTCTTCAGAAACACCAATAAAACAAATAGTTTGCTTAATTTGACACTAAAAAATAAGGAAACACATCTTTAAGGAGGATTGAGCGTTAACTTTGTCAGCGGACACTTGTTTCAGCAGACTAATATTATCGTCACTGAAAACTAATACTCCCATTGTGTTAACTATGGCATTATTTGATTTGACCTCCTAGTAAAACCTTTTGTCCCCAAGTTGTATCCCCACTTCATTTTCAAAATAATACAAAAAGATTTAAATACCCCCAACCTTTGAAATTTCGTGACATTTGACTTCAAGTATGTGCCATTTTTTCAATTATTTTCTGGGGTTGGGCGATAGAACCCCTCAGACCCTCCATGAAGTTATTGGAATCTCAACCCTGACAGTTACCCCACCCCCATTTAATCAGCTTGCTCCCTATCTATACCCCCAGCTTATAGAGGCTGCTGCCGCCACTGCCAATTACTGCATTACTTAACAGGATTTGTGTTCTAAGGAAATTGAAATGGAGTTTTACTGTTCTGCAGCTGTTAATCAAATGAAGACGAGAAATGCCACGTATTGTTCAAAGAAATAACTTTTAGCCAGAATAGTGTGGTAGCAAACTGTCGAAATGCATATATCTGCACATGATAATATAAATAACGCACTGCAGCCTATGTGACGACAATCTATACAACACGTCACGGTTTTTGTTGAATTGTGGGTGAACCAGGTTTGATACAGATAGATGAGAGTTCGTACTCACGAAGCAAGTATTGCCAGAATCCCCTCATTGTATGGGTTAATATAATCCTAATTGGGGTCAGACTGCGAAATTTGGCCTAGTAACCTAGTGACTGTAGCATAGATACCCAGTGACCTATTTATATTTGAATGGAACTTGATCTGAGCCGATACGGACATCTACAGTTAGATGTTAGTTCGAGACACATCCTTTAAAACTGAACATCACACACTTAAAGACTTAGAGAACTAATCAAAAACAATTACTGAAAAAAATTCCCGTTAAAAGGGAATCCTGCTCGTATCCAAATAAATTTTTATCTTGAAAAGTTACAAAGCCACAAAAGTGGAAATTAATTGAATTCCTTATGGAATCTTGAGAGAGGTGCATAAAAAACAGTAGTCTCTTTTGTTACGACGCTTTCAAATCCCTTCGAGGGAAACGTTTTTGACGTAATATTTCCTATAAACAAAACGGATGTTTTTGCTGTGCAGACAAAGAGGATCTGGATGATAGAGTCGTTGCTTTCCCATGGTCCAGGTTCCGGACTCTCAATGATCTAATTTTTATTTGCCCTCCATCACCATGTCACTGTTTTTACATGAGAATGTCTAAACTATTCTGCCAATGACAATAAATGCACATTTAAGTTTTACACCCAAATATCTATCAGAGGTGACAATGGACGCGTGGATAGATTGTGATCAATTAACTTGAGCACCTACTGTTATGGCCAAACGTCAACGTCGGAATCTTCCTTTATGGTGAGAAAAATCTTGATGCCTGTGGCAGTGCTTCCGAGATTTTGTCCTGTGTCGGCTTTCGCCCCCTAATAACTACCTCAGATCCCCCCACCCCACACACATACGTAGAAATTCGTGATGTTTTGTTTCGTGCCTTTCCTGTGAGTTTTGAACGTATGAACCCACAGAAAAACATAATGTAACGATCTGCATTTTAATCAGATTATTCAAGGGAAATAACTCGTTATGATTTGTTTGACAAAATTAACACAGCTTTAATGACAAAAGTTGTTTAAATTAAGAAACAACTATGCTGAACAATATAGGATAGTTGATGAAAGATATTTGTGCACGCCAGAAACGATTCAAAACATACAAAGGACAAGTCCACTTTATTCTGTGGTTTAAAGGGGCAGTATGCAATTTTATTATTTTTACTTTTTCAACTGCACCACCAAAAATAGCAACGTTCAAATGTTAACGTAAACCTTATAACTAGTTTTGGCATTCTAGAATTAAACTTTCCGAGTAGTTAAGAGACACATTTCATAAATTGTCCCTTTAGTCAAACAAATATCTTGGCCAAATTTAAGACGACCCGTCTCATTTTAATGGCATCTTCACAATGTCAAGCTGTTACGAATTCGTCTTATACATTGACTGCAATAGCTAATATAGCAGGAAGGCTGAAATCAATGATAGAAAGCTGGCTTCAAGATACGCTAAGATAAATTTCGTAATAGTTTGACATTGTTCCTTAAACAACGGCACGATTATTCACTAGATGATCATTATCATGTAACGTTGCTTAAGGATTACTGTGGTATTCTGAGGATGTGTACAAATATCTTTAACATATTCTGAAAACAGTTTTTTTTTCTTCTTTGTTTACATGTAACTGATATTTACCACTTTCACATACATAGTATCCGCAGACTCAAAATTCGACGCCTACTTTGTCTACAATTAAATACAGAGTTAGCATACCGACAGAGGTGACGACAGTTTCCACGGCATTATCAACATTGTATCGAGAAAAATATTACCGATATTGTGTCCTTGTAAGTTAGAATGTTGTCATCCGTGTGTACCTTTTAGGTTATTGTAGACTAACCGTACGCGGGATTTTCATTATATAAAGTGTAACAGATAACTTCAGCTTTTTAACAGTCAAGCACCTCTTAGACAACTTTATCCTCTTGAAATTTTGGAAAATGAAAAATGAAACTTACTGAGCCACGAAGGCTCCATTTGAAATTTGGGAGCGAGGATTCTATAAAAATAGCCATAAAATCAACTTTACAGACAAGAAAGTAGCATTTATTTTGGCAGCGTAATAAAGTGATAAGGATGTTCATACTTTGCCGATTCACCAACAATTCCACCATCTAAAAAGCGTAATAAAATGATGAGGGTGTCTGTACTCCGCTGCTCACCATCAATGTCACTGTATTTTAATAATGAACACCTATTGCACATTTGAAGATGAAAATACAATTGTTTAGGAAGCTATAACTGTTGTAGTTTATATAAAAACAATTTGGAACAAAAGAAATTATATGAAATATGAAATGGAGTTTTACATCGTACTCTCTGCAACTTATAGATGAACGGGCTGAAGTGAAATGAAGGACTCCTTGGTATACAAAGATAGGTCCAAAGTATTCACACAAAATAAATAAACCATGCACTAATGCGCCAAAGTGCCTCTTGATGATCACATGATCAAACCTGAGACCTATTTATAGACTATGCACATCAAAGATGGTATGACAATTGGGAATCAAACTACGGTAGGTTAATTCCACTGCCGCTCTCCTGGCAAAATTTCCTCACTGCACATCGCGTGCATTGTTGTTCGTCTTCATTAGACTCAAATACTAAAGCTGAAGTATAACACCTGCGGAACCCAAGTTTTTATACGTCGTCGATAAGCTACATTTCTTGGTTGATCTGTCCTGCACAGATTCAATACTATTTTCATAAATAAAAAAAAATTGCACAAATATGAGATTCGTATTATGAGTATTTCACAGTTCTTGCGCGCAAAATATTGGAACACGTTTTAAAGTTAAAATTATCCACATAAAGCTGCGAATAGACGTGGTAAGCTGTCCGTTGCGATGTACCGGATTTTGATCGATACAGTACAAAATAGAGAACGCGTATCGTATCAACTTCGTCTTATACCTTGACTGCAATCAAATCGCATTAAGAAACCTCTGTAATACAAGAATAGCAGCCATTAGCAGGTATGCGATCGAAGGTATAAGACGCGGTTCGTAATGTGTCCTCGAAAAAGAACCTCCTATATTATTATTCCCATAGCTATTACCTTGTACATTCACACTCAATTCCACAAATATTAAATAAAATTGACTTTACCCGCCTGATGATGTAAGAACCATCCATTGTTGGCTGTCTTATCAAATCGCAGTTATCGCCCCTTAATAGTTCCGAGCCAAAATTGTCAGTCATAACCATTGGTTGATACTATCATGCCTCAACATTGCTGCTTTACGTTCTGTGTACGTTTTTTACATCACAACTCCTTTAATTTACTGACGTTACTGAGGGAACAACGAAAACATACAAGAGTATGTGTTATTGGTAACGCGTCTAGACGATTTATAAGCATGTCCATGGTGAAACTATAGGCAACGTACAATGTCACGTGTTCTTTTATTTACAACCTTCCACCTTAATGATGAAAGACGTTACTTGATTATGAAAAAAATCTCGTCTGCCGATATATATTAAACTAATAGTTCACGCCCTTGGAAGTGTCTTTCCATGAACCCCGTTGTGAAACATAATATGCACGCGCACTTTTTAAGACATCTTTACTGCATTTACAATGCATTACATATAAATATTTTTGTTTTTTCTTCATTTCCAATCATTGATTACGTCACTTGGTTCTAATCCGGGTATTTATCACTAAGAAAGGACGATGCCGTCTCTGAAGACTGCGTAATCGCAGGGATCTAGCAGTCGGCAAGAATTTAGTACGTTTTCTTTTACTACCTTTGGGTACAACGAGTTTGACTGAGCGTCCACATCGCTTGCATTCTATTTTGAGCTTCAAGCGACCTTCGTTTGGATTTAAAAGTTCTTGGACAACACTTATAGGTAAACTTAGCTTCTGCCACCGAGTTTTTTTCACATGAGTCCGGAGATATGTCAACTGCGATTTCTTTTTGTCCTGCACTTTAAACACTTTAATAACTATTGTTTTATTTGTTTTTTTATTTCCTCGTTTACGAACTACCAACCACAAATGAGCACTGACCACCTCTAAATTGGATTTCTGTTCTCCTATATGTATCACAAATTGTAACAGACTTTTCTTTCGATTACGTTTTCCTGAAACAACAGAAATAACCAAATGTGAAGTTAAAAATGTTCTCTAAATCGCGGGAGGGGGTGGGGGGATCGGTCTATCAACTGGTCCTTAGCTATGACTGTCTATTAGAGTTTTCGTAAATGAAATTAAAACGTTCTACTCTTTTGCACCTAAATGGGCATGCAGTGTGCAATGAGGGACATGGACTTGATAATATAGTCATTACTTTATCTATTCAGAATATCAGAAGAAAAATACTCAGCAATTCCCGATCGCTTATTCCAATTTCTATGAATGAAGTAGTTGTTCCATTAGAGGACTGTACATTTGGTTAAATCAAACACTCCCCTCCCCGAAAATTAATTAGACCTTACCAATAGATTGAGAAAAACTGACTATCTCCGGCCCACCAATCACAATGTCTGTTTTATTATCGGCTGTGATTATTGACGTAGGTGTATTGTCACGTGGTTCTTTAGAACTAGTCGTCTGGTTACGATTGAGTTTGTTTTGCTGAAATCCTAATGCGTATAGAATCTGTTGCTTAATTCTTTGTAACCGTTGAATCTGTTTGATATTTATTGCTAGAGGGTTTCTGCAGGCGTGTCCTGGACATTTCCGTGACGTTGAGAACCGAGCAGACGTTAAACATGACGCGAAAATTAAACTCAAGATGGTGTAAAGGTAGAAGTTCCGGTAAATCTTTGACATGTTAAAATCTTGTCACCTGAAAAGAGAAATAGAGATCATGAAGACTTGGGAGTGGTGAGGAGAGAAGCAAGGTCGCCCGCAACATTTTTATACGCCCACATTATAATGTGGACGTATATTGTCGTCATCCATGCCCGTCCGTCGGTCCGTCTGTCCACAATTGGATTGTGAACGCGATAGAGACTACAATTTTCATCTGATTCGAATGAAATTTGGTGTGATCATTTATATTGATGAGATCTTGGACAAGTTCGATATTCAAGATTTTTCGATGAACGGTTTTTGAGTTATTGTCCTTGACTTCACCAAAACGCGTCAAAATTGGCTTGTGAACACAATAGAGACTACAGTTTTCATCTGATTTGAATGAAATTTGGTGTGATCATTTATATTGATGAGGTCTCGGACAAGTTCGATATTCACGATTTTTCGATTAACGGTTTTTGAGTTATTGCCCTTGATTTCTGAAAAACGCGTCAAAATTTGTTTTTGAACACAATAGAGAGTAAATTTTCATCCTATTTAAATGAAATTTGGTATGATGATATTTATAATGATGATATCTTAGTCAAGATTAAATCTGACAATTTTTCGATCAACGGAATGAAAACTGCTCAGTGGTGCATGTGTTGGCCTTTTGACTTTGTATCAATTTTTCCAGGGGTAGGAGGTGGCGGGGGTTACCCCCCAAAGCAAACCCTTGGTTTAAGGGGTATAAGCCGGATGTCTCGGTACAATTTAGTTTCACAACAATCAGTTTTAGTAGGTAGACTATACTAAGATGTACTCTAAGATATCAGATATAACTGAAACGTGTTGTCATGTTTCACGCTGTGATAATATATATTTATTTATACGTCTATTTGTACTTTTATCTCTCAAACTCGAATAAAACTCTTGACGTTGTTTTTTTATTATTTTTCATGCATCATTCTGATTTTCAATCAGACGTCTGTGGTTCCTGCAATTCCACTTTAAGTTGCATTATGCAAAATTTTAATCATTAAAAACGTCATAAATTATCTCTGAAGTTATTTTTAGAATAAATATGCTATTTACATCTATGTATCTACTCGATCAAACTGAATTAGTTTTAAAAGGGTTAATTAAACACGGAGTGTACTAATTATTGTGAATTAAACAGCTTAAACTTCAAGATTCAATATTTTTATTTGAAACCTTTCAAATACATAGGAGGCATATTTCTCCACAATTAAGCTTTTTTCTCCTTAAAAGAATACTACCTCTTAAAATTTAGTCTCAGACTTGTTCAGCAATTGTTTATGTATGTTCATCAGTTGGACCTGAACAGTTGGAATACAATCTCTATATAGAGATCGTCTAATAGACGATATATCCATAAGATTAAATAATTATAGAAACACACTTCTAGGCATGTTTCAAAATTACCAACTTTAATGGTTAGTTTTGTGGATTTATTGGATTATAGAGGGATTATTTTGTATAGTTATGACATCAGGCGAGTCCAAAGACTCATGTTAACCAAGTTTGAAAGTTTCAATTTATTTGCCATATTAAGAGAAAGCACACCTTTAAATCCACACAGTAGATTTTTAAAACCTCCCAAAAAAGCATAACGAACATAAAAAGTTTTGGCATTACGGCCGGATATTTTTTTAGTCAAACTTTCAGATAAGTCTAGTGTAAATTTTCTAAAGATATTTATAATTTGAGCCAAAATTTTGTCATACGAAAAAAATTATTGCCCTTTTAATCGATGCGTTTTATTACGTCAATATTGCAAAGGCCCTTATATATCAGCTTATTGACATTGCAAAAGCCACAGGCGTCTGATTGAAAATCTGGATGGTGCAAATGGATGTAATCAGCGCCCCGTTAAAAAGCCATGCATAATCCTCTTCTCGTAAACTTTCCGAAAAAAGCAATGAAATAACCTATCCTATCAGTAAGTTATAGGCTTTGTCCACGTTAGTCCTTACTGGGGAACTGGGATTGGTATTATGCCGAGATGGAACCGTTGACTTTGAGATTAATGAGCAGGCGTCCAACTCATATCGAATCCATATATTTAATTCATTTACTTATAGACATATCTCTCTTATCCCTTGGAGAGTCAGGTTACCTCAAATCCCGTCCACCCCCAAATACTCAGACCCCTTCCCCCCCCCCATTTCATCACCTGAGAGATGAGGTTCAGAATGTGCATATAGATTATTTTGAATATGCTAAGTACACAATATTTTTGTTTTACCAATAACAAGTTGTTGAAAGTACCGTTATGAAATAACAAAATACGCACGTAAGGTGAAGGTCGTTATCAAACGGCCTTGACACGATTCCAAATAGTTGAGATTGAACTCACTGATAAGAGGCAGACCAGACAAATTCACAAAAATACCTGCGATAAAAAACCAATTACAGTTATTTGGCTTTTTCGCCGTCTATTCTATCTTCCAATGTAAACATACGTAGTCTAAATGCAGAATTCGTGTAATGCATTACTAGAGGAAACTGGGTTGAAAAATCTGGAGGCACTAATCTCAACTAATTCCTTTAACAAAACACTTCCGTTTGCATTAAATGCTCCAAAATAGACTATATTGCGTCTAAATAGAATTATATGTATATATATATCTTCTCATAGACACTAAAATACACACAGACTCGCCTTTTTTGGGGGTTAATATGGGTCTTGAATATATGTAAATAGTAAATAATGTTCCAAAAAAAAAAAATTCACACAATTTCTTCAAACACCTCATTGTATATTTCTAATCTGTACCTTTAAAGGACCCTAGTCCAGAAATTCGACAGAATAATTTTTTTCTACATAAATTGTATCCCGTCAGAAACAAACAATGAATCAATAGGGCCTAATCAAAGGAAATTAGGATTGAAAAGCGTGCTAAATTTTTTTGAGAGTGTTTTTCGCCTAAAGGAAATCTTTGTGACCCGACCATTTTGAAATCATAGTATGAGGAGAGATATCACATTTAACTTGTTCTAGGTTTGATGCCTTCGACCGGTGGTTTTTAACATTGTATATTAATATGTGTCTCTAAATTGTATTTTGCACGAAAAGGTCGTCCCCAGATATCAACATTGAAACTAAGATCTTGGACGGTCTCAGGTAGTAGCCTGTGGAGTACAAAATGATATATTTAATACTCCCAAGATTTCAAGAAACAATGTTAGCCAAGGCTGTATATAGTCATATGAGAAGTATAATATATTGTATAGTTGGATACTTTTTCGTAGCATGTGACCCCTGCAAACCTATGCACTAGACCCATTTGTAAAGATTAGATCATCATCGACAGTTCACATAGCTAATATTTTTAATTATATCAAATGATTAAATCAACCAAGGAATTTTGAGGTCGCATAATTGCAGTCTGTTCTACTTTAATTTAAAAGGCAAGACAGAACTCCTGTTGAGAGGACAGCGATTAGGGGATTAGGTTATTCAAGTCTTTAAAAAAAAATTGGAAAGTCGGTCTGGCGTATAGCTATATATAGTCATATAAAAAAAGACAGCCAAAACAGAGGGCAGAGGAACTCTTGTTCAAAAAGTGCTCAAATTCAAATGTTTCGTTTCGTGTTTTGTTGATGTTTAAGGTCATTAAATTATTTATCCACGATTGACATAAATGTTAGGCCACTTTTAACAGTGGAGCTTTTTATACATAAAAAGATAGTATAGCCTACTCTTTTTCGATTTCAATTGTCGAGAAATTTATTACATGGACAGCCTGTAGCACACGGGACCTCGGTTAATTATCCCATCCGAACGACTGGACACTTTTTCCATGTCAGCAGCTACATCAATGAAAAGGGGAATCCGAAAGTATTATCTCGACCTATGCCGATATTACAATGGGTCGAAGCGAGTATAGGTTACAAACATTATAACACGAAGGTTGCATCATCCGAAGATTCTGTAAAAGTCATCAGCTGATATTTTTTGTGAGTTTAGTTGATTTACGAGCCTTCTCCTGTCACCCTGTTTATTTCATTTTTTTTCTTTTTGAGTTTTTGCCACATTGCCGTGTCGAATAGTCAAATCTTTTAAGGGACGTAATGCAAACTTTTCATTAATTAAAAAGGGATATATATGTATGCAAATGATCAACTTGAATATATTTCAAAAGGTTTACTCTTAAAAAATGGGTTTTAATTGTTAAGTAGTTTAGGCCTTATAACAGCTCAATATTTCTATTTGAAAACCACAGAATAATTAAAGGGACACATTTGTCTACAATTTGGCGTTTATTTTGCTTAACCAGTACATTAGTTTTGCAACACCAACCATAAACATAGCGACCTTACAATGTTTACGTAAACCTTTTAACTACTTTTCGAGTATAAAAATTATAGAGAAAGACACTTTAAGTTAAAACTATAGTTTAATGCAAAAAAAAAAAACAATGTAACTAAAACGTTGCCTGACAAATAAACGAAAAAACCCAAACAATTTTATCATTTTGGACACCTCGAATTAGATGCAGAGTTGAAAACCCCAAAGTGTCATCAGTATAGAAATTGTACAATGGAAGTCAAGCTCAAATAAAATAAAGTCTTAGAATCGGATCTTGAAGTTGAAGAATGATCTTAGGGACAATCTTTTCAACAAACCGACAAATCATCTTCACAATATCAAGCTATTGCGAATCGTTTCCAATATACATTGAATAAGTTTGTAAATCAGCGATTTGGTTAGATTACACCCTTGTGAATGCAGTCAATCAGAATTTTGAAAGACCATATTCGATATTGTCATCAAGGTATAAGACGAATTTCGTAATAGTTTGACATTTTGAGGATGGGAAATCGCCTGCTACCAGGGCCAACATGTAATTGTAATCAGTATACAAAACACTATTAGCTTTGTAGACTCTCCAAAAATTCAGAATTGATAATCTCAGTAGCAGAGTAACATCATGCAGTGCCTTAGTTTTTGTCCGTTAAAGATACCTTGTCAGTCAGAAATCTATGTGTTTTCCCAATTAGATAAAGAA